GTGGTAGCCGTGAGTGAGGGAATGAAAGACAACGCATTGTGGTAGATGTGAGTGAGGGAACGTATGACGATGCTTGCTGGTCTGGCGGATATCTTATCGTAAGCTATTTTCTTCAGGTTTGTTTCACTGGGGAAAATGTCCGAAGGGACGAAGCTGCAATTTCATTCACGCGTTCCGAAACCCGAGCAACGAATTCCTCGACGCGGACAGAGGGTACACAGAATCGTCCACACCAGGTACACGCATGTGTGTGTGCGCGTGCGTGCGTGTGTGTCATGTGCGTGTGGTGTACGTGTTCGCGTGTATGCGTGTGCGTGCGTGCGTGCGTGCGTGTGTGGTGTATGTGCGTGTGTGCGTGCGTGTGCGTGCGTGCGTGCGTGCGTGTGTGGTGTATGTGCGTGTGTGCGTGCGTGTGTGTGTGTGCGTGCGTGCGTGCATACTTGTGTAAGCAAACTTCCCATTCACCGCATCGCCTCTCATCACGGTCGTCGTGCAGTCGATGACCTTACCTTCATTGCGTTTCCTCCGTCGTTGCAGGGGGCCGCCACCGGTCGTTGACGCAGCGAGCTGAGCGCCGGGGCGGATGGGACCGCGGCGCCAGCTACCGCCGCTCCCGCTCCCCGTCTCCGCGATCCGCCGGCAGGGGGCGCTCACGATCGCATGACCGCAGGCGACGACGGTCTCGTTCAAGGTCGCGGCGGAGGCACAGGAAGAGGTCAAGGTCGGCATCCGCGAGTCGGGACCGGCGCTCAAGGTCGCGATCGGCCGACAGAGGGAAGCCTTCAAAGTCAAGTCCGGTTGTTCGGGACGATCGATCGAGGTCAAGGTCCAGACCGAAGCGCGGGAAAAGGTCAAGGTCAAGACATAGAGATGATTCAAAGTCGGGGTCACCAGAGGATGGGCACCGTCGCTTGCAATCAGCGTCAATGGACGGAGGTGGCGGATCGAGGTCGAAGAAGCACCGATCAAGGTCAAAGAAGCACCGATCAAGGTCGAGGTCTGGGTCAGCGATGTCGGACGATCGCTCGCGCTCTAAGCGTCGTAAGCGGTCAGGCCGCCACAAGTCGTCGTCGCGGCGGCGGCGTGAGAAACACAAGGCATCGGCGGCCAGAGATGCAGAGGTTACGGGGGTTGTGGAGGTCACAGAGGTCACAGGGGTTGCAGAGGTCATGGAGGTCACAGGGGTTGCAGAGGTCACGGAGGTCACAGGGGTTGCAGAGGTCATGGAGGTCACAGGGGTTGCAGACGTCACAGAGGTTACGGAGGTCACAGGGGATGCAGAGGTCATGGAGGTCACAGGGGTTGCAGACGTCACAGAGGTTACGGAGGTCACAGGGGATGCAGAGGTCATGGAGGTCACAGGGGTTGCAGACGTCACAGAGGTTACGGAGGTCACAGGGGATGCAGAGGTCATGGAGGTCACAGGGGTTGCAGACGTCACAGAGGTTACGGAGGTCACAGGGGTTGCAGAGGTCACAGGGGATGCAGAGGTCATGGAGGTCACAGGGGTTGCAGACGTCACCGAGGTCACAGAGGTCACAGAGGTTACGGGGGACGAGGAGGCAACCGAGGGCAGGCTAACTTCGAATCATGCCGGAAAGGAGGAGGGGGCAGGCATCATTATGAAACATGCTGTCACGGATAACATGAGGAAGGGAGGAAGCAAGGACAGAGAAGGACCGGGAGGATGGTCCAAGCCAAAGCTGGGAGAGAGGGAAGAGCTGGGAGAGATGGAAGAGAATGGGAGGAGAGAGGAGATGGGGAACAGGGAAGATATAAAAAAGAATGATGAGATAGGCTGAAAGGGAAGAGAATAGGAAGAGAGAAGAGATGGGGAACAGGGAAGATATAAAAGACAGGGAAGAAATGAAGGAAAGTGGAGAGATAGAGGAGAAGGAAGACATAAAAGAGAGGGAAGAGATGGGGAAGGAGAGAGGATGGAGGAGAGGAAAGGAAGGGAAAAGAAAAATACGAACCAAGAAGGGACGGGATCACATATTGGAGAAGTAGTCAGGCAGGAGAAGCTGCGTACTCGTGCGAAAGGAAACACAGAAATGAATGTCCAGTGCCTTCGACCCACGACGTGACGTCGACCTATGACCTATGGCATACGACCTGTGACATATGACCTATGACCTATGACATACGACCTATGATCTATGACCTATGACCTATGACATACGACGTGATAAAGGTGATGTGAGCGCTGTGGGTGAGAGGCGTTTGAATATGTAGTCGTCATGGCAACCTTGACGAGGCGTGGGCATGTTGCCACCCATAGCTGTAAACCTACGACTGTGTGAGAAACCAGCAGTGTATTTTACAGGATATATATATATATATATATCAGGAGTAGATAATAGGAATAATTCCCTATTATCTACTCCTGATATGTATATATATACACATATATATCAAGAGCGTATTATTCATTCTTAACACGCTCTTGATATATATATATATATATATATATATACTAGAGGTGTAACGATACACTAGGGTCACCATATGATATGTATCTCGATATGTGGGTCATGATACAATACATCTCACCAAGAGCGTATTAAGATTTAAAAAATAAGAAGAGAAAAAAAGAAGATAAATATGCTCTTGATCTCACAATACACAGACAGAAAGAGAGATATTGTAAATAAATTGCATGATGTGAAAAATTGTCATATCATTCATGTTTTTTATTATTAATATTTATTTGTAAATTTATACAAAAGGGGTACAATCCCCTAGAATTTTATAGTATATTATGATAGTGAGTGCATAAATAATAGTATATACACACAACTTTTTATTAGCATGCATTTACATTCGTCATAAAACAACAGTGAGTCTTTATTTGGTCTATTAGTTTGTAATCTGAAGTTAGTTCACATGAATGTTATTTCGAAGTTAAACATCTTTACTTTTTAGTTCGAAATCTAATGTTATTTTACTGTTATAATTATGTATTCCAATACTTTCATAACACAAACGTATTATGAGTATATCAAAGCCATACAGATATATATAGTAAACAATCAGTTACTATATATATATATATATATATATATATATATATATATATATAGCTGAAACACACTGAGATTTCCTGAGTGCGTCTAGACTGACCTGTAATTTGACAGCTCACTCACATGCGTACGTGCCATATGCAGCGCAACATTACGTGCGCAGTAACGTCACGCACCAGTCAATCAGCGCAATTGATTGTTTTGCTGTAACAACTTTGGCAGCAATACAAGCGCTCCACATATATATTGACACAGATTTGAGATTTCTACGACATCCGGCCGATAATACTTGCGAGATACTGCCAGGGAGTTCATAAAATAAAAGAATTTTACGTGCATTAGTTTGCCCTATAGTTTAGCATAGTTTAGCTTGCCCTATAGTTTAGCATAGTTTCGCTTGCCATATTCACTGTTTGACATGCGTATCGTTTGCATAGCGTTGCTACGGACGCTGCGCATCGAGTATCGTATCGTGGGGCGAATCGTTAGTATTTCGTTACACCTCTAATATATATATATATATATATATATATATCGTATTATATAGTGTAATTATCTAGTATTATATTGTATGCCAGTGAAATTGCAGACTTTCTACATACAGAGCTCATGCATGCTGCTGTAACCTGACCAGGCTAGCTGTGTGACTAACGTCAATATACACAGGTCTTCTAACCATAGCAAAGACCGTTCTTGGAGCTAATCATGCCATGACACATATAACGTTTTGTCCCCTATTCTCTCATGCGATGACACATAGACTGTCCGCTATTCTCTCATGCCGATGACACATAGACTGTCCCCTATTCTCTCATGCCGATGACACATAGACTGTCCCCTAATCTCTCATGCCGATGACACATAGACTGTCCCCTATTTTCTCATCAATCTGTAAGGCTTGTGAACTTTTGCACGACGATTGATGTCTTGAGAAAAAGTTTCGTTTACTCCTAATCTTGTGTACATAATATACATTGTAATAAATACTGCATTTTATAGAAAATTCTGTTCCTTCTGTTTCCTGTAGTAATTTGCTGAGTTTTCTGTACGCAATTTAAAACAATGCTAATAAGTAATATAAATAATAATGCTAATACATAAAATAATAATAATAATAATAATTACATTAATAGTTTCCAGGAGAGAATCCTGGCCAAAGCAAATATTGATTAGGTAATAATATTTATATTTCCGGGCGGGAGGGCTATTGTGACCCCCTCCTCCCAGAAGCCCAGCGGTAGAGGAGGGGGTGTCACAATTGCCCCCTCCCAAAAAAAAAATTATTAAAAACGAAAAGTTGTTCTTATAAATTTGCGGTTTGGCATCCCGAGACAGCCAAGTATCTGTGCGGTTGCAGGCGATATCATTTCGTAGTTTTGAACACAAACAAACGATTACAGTAATTAATTATTTTTCGACACATTTGTGAAAAGCAAGAATGTTACGGCGTGATGGTGGCTGGACCATAGCGGCCACACGGCAGCGAGGGTGGAGTCTTAGAACGTTCCAGAACGAACGTTCCGAACGTTCCAGATGCTCTAGCGTTATTTGGGTTATTGAATCGCGTGCATTTTATTTTTATTTTATCCAGTGCATTGCATAATATATCAGGGGGTGGCTATCCCCCGTGGAAGGGAGGTCTAGGGTAGAGCCTTAGATAGAGGTAAGGCTCAGGTCTAGGAACGTAATGCATCCCCTCTTGCGATTCAAGTTCATATTTTTCCAGCATGCCGCAAAGGTATTCCACAATCGAAATGGGATAATTAACTCACTACTCTACTACTCACGAAAATGAATAAGCACAGTCAGCATTGGACCCTTCCCACTCTCCCCACCCCCCAGCCGATCGGCATTCACTGGTCGCTTCTCTCCATATGTTGTACTATATAGTATTGTCGTGTATGAGGTCTATAGGCGCCTAGCTGTTACACAATGTTGGTGCACGCTATATTGAGATAGTTAGCTGGTGCTCGTGAAAGAGACATTTTTTTATTTACAATAGATTTAATTATTTGCCACGATTTTCTAAGATTTTTACTATTTTCCATTAAAAGGTTCTGATAATATCGCTTTTTGGTAATCCTCATCAAACGATTTAGTTGACTTTTATAATTTTTGTATTTTATTTCATTTGCAACTGTATGCTTCCTCATATATATATAACATAAAGCTTATTTTTTCTTTTGATAGAATTTGATAAGCCAGTGGTTACCCATGGTAATCTATTCCTATATTGTTGTTTGTATTTAACTCTAGGAAAAGAATCATAATATAATTTAGTTATTATTTGCGAGAAGCTGGTGTAAGCATCTTGAGTATCTTCAGAGGATAGTATTTCTCCCCAATCAGTTTGTTCTAATCTATTGTTAAATTTATGTTTTGTGTCCTCATTCATAATTCGTTTATAAGCATAAGTCACGCTCTCCTCAATACTTGATTTACTACTTATATGAAAGATTGGGAAATGATCTGTAATTTCAGTATAAAACACACCCTGAAGAGCACTTTCAACATTAGAAATATTATCACTGAATATATTATCTATAAGAGTGGCTGTGCATGTAGTTACTCTAGTAGGGCGGTTGATTAGAGGTATATACGAGTTTGAGTACATCATTTCCAAGAATTGTGCCGTTTGGTCGTGGGTTTCATGATTAAGTAGATTTATATTAAAATCACCCATTAAATAACATAACTTATCTTCTTTTCTTATTTCCTCAATTTTGCCTGTAATTTGTTCTATAAATAATCTAATTTCTCGATCTGGAGGTCTGTATATAACACCAATGATCATATTCTTATTAGAATTAGTAGAAGACTTGTCGACTTCTATAAACAGTGACTCCAGTTCATCATTAAACACGTTTAGCCGCTCCTTAAAACTGTATTCATTTGAGATATATAGAGAAACACGTAACACCACCTGGTCTGTCAACCCTCGACTTACTTATATGTTCATATCCTTTTAATTGATATAAGTCCGCGTTATTTACTGTTAACCATGTTTCAACAATACCAAGTACAGAAAAATTATGCTTAACGAGATCTAGGTATGTTTCAAATTCAGTAAATGTTAAAAAAAACATATTCCGCTAGGTGCGCTGGCTGTAGACTTACAAACACGCAACCACAGGCTAAGGGATACAGCAGTCTGTCACGTAACCTTGCAGTGGATTCGCCAGGGCACACGCGCTGGCTGTGGAATCAAGTCCTCCCCCACCTGCACGCATATCTATCTATCAATCTATCTATTTTACTATCCATCTATCTATCTATCTATCTATCTATCTATGCATTCATCAAATGTGAACCTGTGACCCTTGACCTTGGGTGAAAGGCACTCAAAATCAATAGGGTTCCACCGCCCCCTCCGCCCCCTAAGGTCCACCTCTGGACCAAGTTTAAAGTTTCTAACTCTAGCGGTTGCAAAAATATCGAGCAGACAGACAGACACACACACGCGCACACGCACACGCACACGCACACGCGCACGCGCACGCGCACACGCACACGCACACGCACACGCACA